TAGTTGCTTCGACATGCACCACATCCCAAAACGACCTTCACCTATTACTCTGCTCTAATAGCAGCCAGCACCCGTTCATCCCTCAGCCCGTCTACGACTATGTACTCATGTAACTGTGTACCTTGCAGCCGTGGAGCTGCACCCACCCTTGCACCCTCGTCACCAAACCCCCCCCTTGTCCGCACTCCTTCGCCAGCCCTTGCAAGTACGAGCTGCCTTTCTTTTGCCAACAGCAGCGTCCACTACACGCGGCTCCTCTGACAAAAAAGCACTCGGGAGATGCACTCGTGTCCACAATGGGCATACACGCATCTCACCATCCCGTCTTGTATGCAATTTCTTCGTGCATCCACGCTACATACTAATACGACACGGTTCGACGTTGCTAGCTGCCCCGTCGGACCGAGTCCGATAGGCTTTGGCAAGCACATCCTTGGGCACCAACAACCATGCTCCTCATGCTGCAAACAAGCGCATTGCCGATGCGTTTCGGCCGTCCAAAACGCAGCACAATGCAAAATATAGTCCTCACACTCTTAATATTCGCACTGCATCCCCATTTGAGCTTCCGGTGGAGCCCAAGCCTAGCCCCATTGTTGCCTCAGCCAGGACCGCCTCACCTAATCCGTCCAGAACCTGTCATCCCTTGGCGAGTGGCATACTCCGTATCCAAGCATGCCCATCGTAGTCTGGACAAATCATACTCCTGGTGCAGATCTCATTTTGCACGCCTCGAGGTAAGCCATAGATGACAGTTTCATGTTACGGACATCGGCCTTGGTGAACAGCACAAGCCGGCCTAAGTACACTGACGCAGACGCATCAAGCCAAACATGCATATTCGAGTCCATATTGGGCCGTTGCAATAATCTCCGTGGCGATCAATCTGGCGGGGGGTGCCCAGCTTCCGCGCTTTCCCGGCTTTCCCACCACCTCCCCGCCAAACGCCCGTGGGTCTGATTCGTCAGAGCTTCTATTAACCCCCCCTCTCTCTCCCTTGATATCAGCACAACTGCTGCTGCAACACCCCAACGAGTATACATCGTGCACTCAACCTTTGTTCATTGCCAACCATACGGAGCTAGCCCGCACGTAAGATTCGTCGTCTCATCCGCTACGCGACAAATATCGCTCCCGGTTTCGTAAAGTCTCAACTTGTTGCGCGTCACGCCAAAATACTAATCATTGGGTCCCCCTCAAGTAAACACCATGTTACCACTGCTATGGGTTTTTCTATAGTCACTACTCTCCCTTTGCCTTGGCTATTGCTAGAGGATCGTCACTACTCTCCCTTGGCTACCTCTCTTCTCCGCAATTTGACTGGGGGGCTCCGCGAGGCAATGCGCTCTATCATGTATTGGCGGAGATTCATCCGGCAACAAAAAGGTACCAGGAACCTAACCGCTCTCCTGTCGTCACACATTACAATAGTCATCTGTAGTACCGAACTTCAGGGGGAGGCCAGTCTGGTATTGTCTCCAACACCTCCAACTTCCCATGTGCGTCCAAAGTATGTGCACGTAGCTAAGAACGTGGCTTAGACTCCCAAGTCGTGTGCTACCAAACAGGCAATATTGTGCGTCGGCCAACCTCCCGATATCAGGTACGCTGCACGTCAAGACCAGCTAATGGCTTCTAGCGCATCTTAGTGCCTACGCAGTAGGTCAAGTGCAGCTGAGCAGACCCTCGCAACGCAGGGAAAAAGCAAAGAATACGATCGACTTGGGCGCAGGTCCAGATGGGCAATCATCTCAAATCCTATGAATGGAACCTGTGTCTGTGAGCTATTCCTCGTGCCTTCTAGACCCCACCTCTCCTCCGATTACTGATCGAACCAGTCATCATCCCTGGGTCGTTATCGATACCAGCCAAGTATACGTCATGACACCTGCCAATGGTAACAAATGTAGAGTGCCGGAGATGCATTGAAAACCCCAACCACACAAGGCGCAGAGTGCTTGACTGAATTCTGTGGGCGACTAGCGGGAAGAAGGGAAGGGGGGGAGGGGGAGGGTCAGCAGGAATCGGCAGCGCGCCCTACGTGTATTCCTGATGAGTCACCCCAACCAAGGCAGGTGCATATCACAAATGTTTTCCAGAACACATCGGATTGCTTCCATCACATCTACCACAAAGTACCTACCTCGCCACCTCCTTGCACAATGGCAACAAGCGCTGAGCTCGACTTCGTCACCGTAGACGTCTTCACCTCCAAGCCATACCAAGGCAACCCGCTAGCCATTGTGCGCATACCTAGCGGCCGCACACTAACTCAGGAACATAAGCAGGTCATTGCACGAGAATTCAACCTTTCCGAGACAACCTTCCTGCATGAGAACGCGGAGGGTGAAGCCAATCTAGCATGGACTGTGGACATCTTCATCCCATCGCGGGAGCTACCGTTCGCAGGGCACCCCACAGTGGGCACGGCGTGTTATGTCCTAGGACGAACTGCTCAGGCTCAGGGCCTTGATCATGGCGTCATCGAGGCAGCCTTCAGGCTGAAGGCCGGACCGGTACGGCTACAATACGACGTGGCCAAGAAGACGACCAAGGCTTCGATACCCCATGATGTGTACGTTGTTGATTTCCCTATTTACGTTGATTGTTAGGTCTATGTTCGCCCATCTGGCATTTCGGTTTAGTCCATTCGATCCGAGTGGTGGTGGCAGTGTTGTCCTAAGTCTTCGTTCAATGCTGTGCTATGTCCATCTCTTAGTTGGAAAAATGCAAATCCAGTGCACTCGACATAGGCTGACCAGCACAGCCACATTCATCAACAGCGATATACCAACGAAATGCTCTTCAAGTTACAGCCTCGGTTGGGAGAAGCTCATAGGCAGGACAAGATCAAAGTAAAGGATGACTTTCCCATAGTCTCCATTGTCAAAGGCATGACATTTGTTCTGATCGAGCTGGAGAGTGTCGAAGCCCTGGCCATGGTGTCATTGGCTGGCCAATCCCTTGTGGTCAATGGCCTGGATGAAGGTTGGGACGAGACATTTGTTGGTACATATTTCTTTGTTCGAGTGGCAAATAAGAACCAAGGAGTGACGACACTGAGGACGCGGATGATCGAGGGTCCGTTTGAAGATCCAGCTACTGGAAGTGCCGCCAGTGATCTGGCAGCCTATCTCTCACTGACAGAAGGTGGAGCCAACAAGACATTCCAGTACGAGATTGTGCAAGGCGCAGAGATGGGAAGGCGTAGCGAAATTCTCATCGATGTCGACATGAATGAAAACGGGTCTATTTCGGAGGTCCGTCTTGAAGGTGGCGCGGTTCAGGTTATGAAGGGGCAAGTGGCTGTCTGAAATCGCAAAGGTAGCGTCTTCTAGATCATGGTAGAGCATCCGACAATCCTAAGGCATGGATATTCGCAGTTCCGAAGAATAACGCGTGGCTAGGAATAGAGTCTAAGCCAACAAGCGCAGTCGAAATTATTAAGCAAGGGACCGCACCAGCCCTCCACCTTTTTCCCCCCAGCCAACGTCACCAGCCTGCTTCAGAGCAGTCCAACTTAAGTTGTTTTTGTGCAAGTCAGTTACAGATGTAGATCTATCGTGCCTGAAAACCCACCTTGCCTCAGGCCCGCCGAGGGATCCATTGAAGCCGATCCGCATGGGGTAATTAACGTTGATTCAGTAATCTTCCCCAAGGTACACACCAAACGCATAGCCCGGGTTCAACGCAACGCGTGTCAGCTTTTCGTTTCCGGCGAGGGCACGTTTTGCCAATGCGGGAGCAACGGGTAACGGTTCTCTTGGAAAAGCCTTGGGTCAAGCCTCAGAAAAATAAAACCAAGACTGCGTATATACACCCGCAGGGAGGAATACAAGAAACAAGAATTACGCTGATACGGATGCGGTGAGGGTTTGCATCTAGTGCGGAGCCTGCAAGTTGTTGGTGGATAGGCGATGCAAGAGCAGGGTGGTTTAGCGCCTTGGATAATACCTGTTGATAACAGGGCCGAGATATTGCACACGGGCTCTTCGTCGCCGCCATTGTCTAGTGCTGGTGTGGTGTGCATGTGTGCAAAGTGCGACTCAGACGATACTTGAGCGCTGTGGAGTGCCTGTGTTCGGCCTTGGGACCTTCCGCCTGTCACCTGTGGTGACCGTTGTTGACAGATGACGACAATGCAACTAGCCTTGTCAATAATACACGAATCACACATCACACATCGCAGTCTGGCAGTGAGGCTCGAGGAGGAGGCATGGGTGACATATTCGTGGCGGAGGGGCTACAACTTAATTTCCGCAATGTTAGGGACGACGCTGGTGAAAGCTATAGGGATCTATTACACATTCCTGCGGCGCACTCGGTTACCGTTGAATACGCAGGTAAAGCATTATATGGGGTATACTACAATATGCTCAAAAGCGAGGAGGATCGACAAAAGTGCCTGGCGCCATGCAGCGTCAAGCCTAATTAGGCAGGACCGTAGCCATATCCGGCTAGTGCGAACGACCTTCGCGGCACTCTGTGCTTTACATGGGCAAACCTCTAACACGATCCGTTTCTCGCATCTCCTCCTCAATGCCTGGCGCATTCCTGTATCGGCGTGGCTGCCACAACAGCCTCAGTCAATCGCGCCGCGCGACTTGATGCCCGCGCCCCGTGCGTGAGCCCATGTTTGCCGGAGTATGTCGGTGTGAGACATGTCTGCCTTCATCGCGGGTTTCATGCCCAAGGAACGAGGAGCCGCCTTGCCAGGTTGTTTTTGCTGCCCTTGGCCTATGGACATCGCCAAGGACTTAAGGGACCTTTTCCTCGACGAGTATTTGACTTCTTGCCATCATCAGTCGCTTGTTTTCTCACAATCCGGTTCTGCAGTTGAGGGTTACATTCCTTTCTCTTCCTCTTAATTATTTTCTACCAGATTACGTTGAACGTATCTGTCTCTTCTTCTCTTCCCCCTATTGTAATCCACCGCCAGTCGGATCGCCACTCCTTATAACTTTTTTTCCTCGCTCCAGATTTCACTTCAAGACTTCAACATGCGATTTTCAACTCTCATCCCCCTTCTCCTCGCGGCAGGTGTCGCCAATGCCCAGTTTGGTGGACAAGGCAACAATGGTGGACAAGGCAACAATGGTGGACAAGGCAACAATGGTGGACAAGGCGGCCAGAATAACGGACAAAACAACGGCCAGAACAATGGTCAGAACAATGGCAACAACAACAACAACGGTGGAAACAACAACAACAATGGCGGCAACAACAACAACCAACTCTGCCTCAACCCCGACAACGTTCAGGATGCCAGTAAATCTAATGGACTTGGAGGCCAAGCAGAGGACGGACAGGCTCCTTCCAACACGTAAGTTTTCGTATCTACAATTTCCTGTAACTATAGCACTGACATTACCAGCGATAATGCCAACTTCATCAACTTCTGTCAAGGCAAGACTAAGACCAACGGTCTTCAGGTCCGTGAGGGTTCTTGTAACGGCATTAGTTAGTATACTCTATTCCTCACGTCTGCATCATCTTCTAACCACTACGCAGTCTACGGAGATATCCCTTCTGTCAATAACATGATCTCCACTGTCTTTGTCAACCCCAAGAATGGCGACACTATTCAAGCCAACCAGGCAATCACCTTCGCCGTCAAGACCAACAACCTGGTGGCTGGCTCGTTTACCAACCCCGACAACACCTACTACGCAGCTCCCCAAACTCTCCAGGGCGGAAACATTGTTGGCCACACGCACATCACTGTCCAGGACCTGAATGGCAACATCAACGGCGAGAATCCACCTAACCCACAGACGTTTGCTTTCTTCAAGGGTGTTAACACCGCTGCCAACGGCCAGGGTCAACTTACTGCCGACCTTGCCGATGGTCTTCCTGATGGTGTCTACCGTGCCTGCACTCTTACCTCTTCCAGCAACCACGCACCTGTTATCATGCCCGTTGCCCAGCGTGGTCCCCAGGATGACTGTGTAAGATTCACTGTTGGCGGCAATAACAATAACAACGGCGGCAACAACAACAACAACAACGGTCAGAACAACGGACAAAACAACGGACAGAACAACGGACAGAACAACGGCCAGAACAACGGCCAGAACAATGGACAAAACAACGGTCAGAACAACGGCCAAGGCCAAGGTGGACAGGGCGGTCAAGGTGGCTTCGGTGGACGTCGTGGCCGCGGTCGTGGACGTTTCTCCCGCCGTCACTACATCGCATAAACGGCTCCATTTCACACCTACACGCCGGAAAGGGTTTGACGAGAGTGTAGAAGTAACGCATGATTAGGGGGGAAGTTGGCAACAACATCAGTGAGGTTTGGAGTCTAAGTGCGGTTACACGCCGCTATAATTGATGGCTTTTTTATTCTTGAAAACACGCACAACAACGGGAACCAATTCTTTTATCCATTGGTTTAAGTTCTAAACAGAAAACAACACACATACATACACATATGGAATGATGGTTGATTTTGGGGGGTTGAGAGCAAAGGCGGGGTTGCAAAGGAAAGAGGAAGAGATAGAGAAAGAGAGAGATGGGATATCAATACTCTACGGAGATTGAAGCAAAAGCGCTTCATTGGACTGGTTCTAACGGTTGCGCGAGCGAAAGAGAGCGAAGTCTTTTTTCTTTGTTTTATTCTTCTTTTTTCCTTCCTTACCTTTTTGCGCGCCCGATTGTAGCTTTTTCTTTTCTTTATCCCCCCAATATCCCACCACCACCGCCGTATGCGAATTGATGAAATGTAGAATTATTCACCTTTTTTTCCCTTTCCCCCCTTCCCTTTGATGTGTGACCATCCAAATTGACAGTTACGTCAAGTCTGTCAGAGGTGTCTCTGACAGAATTGACACAACAATAGCCTTTACTTACTATTGTTAGGCTTCAAACTTCGAATCCCTTGAGCGCGCATGAATTCCTGCCAATAGATTTGGAGGCGAAACGTAGTATGCGTCGCACCAACCCACGACCAGGGTATCCTGGGGGTGGCGATCAGGCACGAAAGGTGTTGCAGCGTGTGTGTTGGTGCGAAACTCGCACACTTTTTTACCCGGGATTACAGTATCGTTCGGGCAGTGCCAGATCCGATGCAGGGCCTTGGGTTGCGTCATTTCCGAGATTGGGGCTGAGATGATGGGAGAGATGGAGGGATGGGGCATGGGTGTCTCGGGGTGAAACTGGGTTGGGTGTAAGGCTAGGCGCTGGGTTTTGGAGGAATTGCACGACATAGCCGAGGGAGGTTTGCCTACTGATTCGATGATTTCATACTGCGCTTATAATTTGTTGTATTGGAGGACTGGTGTTTTGCGATGTGAGAGTGGGCTCATTTTTTTTTTCTTTTGAACTTTCGTTTTGGTAAGACACTTGATAAACCCATTCCTCAAAAACTGCCGGCTTTTGCTCATTGACTATTTGACTATGTGACACATTGCTGCACATTGCTACACATGTATGCTCTAGTTACACAAATTCTGTGTATTGAGAAATGGAATAGATCACGTCAGCCCAAGTGCATCTGTTATTGACTTTGGGTTTGGGGAATTGATAAATTCAAGTTCTTTTATGCTCAGAAGGACCGACCAACATCACTCCATGGCTATAGAATCATGTGCAACTTGGTGAACAGCCACTTGAACAGCGCATTTTACGAACCAATCGCCTTTGCAGAAGCCATGCGCTGAGCCATCAGACTAAACACAGCAACAGAAGAAATGAAAATGGCGAGGTTGTAGAACTGTAGTATCAATCAGCTCAACAGTTGGCCTATCGCGTGCCTAAAGCAGGAACATACAGCCTTTCTGGAGTACGCGCTCTCTTCGGCTTCGCTACGCGCGTCGACAAAGAGTCGACGTAGATTTGGCAGGTTAGAAGGCTATCACTCTGCGTCAGAACCATGACCTAGAGTAGCTATTGCCCTTGTCCACTCACCATGATGATCCTCCCGTGATAGCGGAGTGACGGCGGCGGCGAAAGCGTCGAAGCGTTGGGCTAGATGCCATCCCAACGCACGGGCCCTATCATCAAGGTGGCAGTCGCGAAGCTCCACCAACATTGTCCCTTTAGCAATTCACTCACCCGCGACGCCACTCGAGTTTCAGAGACGACAATTTCCCGACTTTCGTGTTCAGAACGACCGGGGAATCTGCATTGCGGCACCCGCCTCGAATCCATCGTCTACGAACATACACATCTGAACGAGCCGCAATCGGAGGGGTTTGGTTTATAGGCTGAGCAATCGGCTGTTGCGTCTCTTACAACAAATATGGCTGTCAATAGGATAAGGGGCGCATTTGCGCCTCCGCGCAAGGGAGAGACATTCGAGTTGCGGGCAGGTCTGGTGTACGCTTTTACCCCAGGCACAAGTACAGCTGTTCACAACTGACGATTGCCTCTAGTTCCCAATATGCCTACGAACGGTGAGCGCCTAGTACTACGGTGGATAATAAAGGCTGGGCAAAGCACTAAGACTGTCGCAGAAAAGAGGCTATTCAAAAGACCATCATGTCAATGACCCTCGGCAAGGATGTGTCTGCGCTGTTTCCTGACGTACTGAAGAATATCGCAACCGCCGACTTGGACCAGAAGAAGCTGGTATATCTATACCTCATGTGTGTGCATCCGGCGCCGGAGATACTAACAGGATACTGATTACGTGCCTCAGGAACTATGCCAAATCACACCCTGACCTCTGCATTCTCGCCGTGAATACGTTTGTTCAAGACTCGGAAGACCCGAACCCTCTCATACGAGCGTTGGCAATACGGACAATGGGATGTATTCGCGTTGATAAGATGACGGATTACATGGAAGAGCCCTTGCGGAAAACACTGAGAGACGAATCGCCATATGTACGAAAGACCGCAGCGCTGTGTGTAGCTAAGCTGTTCGATCTTGCTCCCGCCATGTGCATTGAGAATGGCTTCCTCGAGCAGCTCCAGGAACTAGTTGGAGACCCAAACCCCATGGTCGTCGCAAACTCGGTCACAGCCTTGGTGGAGATTCAGGAGACGGCCCCGGAAACCAAGGCGCTCGTCATCACCTCGTCACAGCTTAAGAAGATGCTTCTGGCCTTGAACGAGTGCACAGAGTGGGGTCGTGTGACTTTGCTCACTACTCTGGCAGACTACAAGGCAGCGGATGTCAAGGAGGCGGAGCACATTTGCGAAAGGGTTGTCCCGCAGTTCCAGCACGTGAATCCCAGTGTGGTACTAGCAGCCGTCAAGGTCGTCTTCTTGCACATGAAGCATATCTCGCCTGAGATGATGAAGTCATACCAGAAGAAGATGGCACCGCCGCTAGGTGGGTGCTGAAATTGTGAGATCATGTGACTGCTGCTGATATACTACAGTTACACTCGTGTCGTCTGCTCCAGAAGTACAATACGTTGCGCTACGGAACATTGACCTCCTCCTTCAGAAGCAGCCCGATATTCTCAGCAAGGAAATGCGTGTTTTCTTCTGCAAATACAACGACCCTCCATACTTGAAGATGCAAAAGCTTGAAATCATGGTACGGATAGCAAACGATAAGAACGTGGATCAACTGTTGGCCGAGTTGAAGGAGTATGCTATGGAGGTGGACATGGACTTTGTGCGACGAGCCGTCAAGGCCATTGGGCAAGTCGCCATCAAGATCGAGAGCGCGAGCGAGAAGTGCGTCAACACACTGCTTGACCTTATCAACACCAAGGTCAACTATGTTGTCCAAGAGGCGATTGTGGTCATCAAGGACATTTTCCGAAAGTACCCTGGATACGAGGGTATAATACCGACACTCTGCCAATGCATAGACGAGTTGGATGAGCCGAATGCACGGGCTTCCCTCATCTGGATTGTTGGAGAGTACGCCGAGAAGATCAACAACGCTGGCGAGATTCTATCAAATTTCGTCGACACATTTGCTGAAGAGTTCACTCAGGTATGTTCTGATGACATGTCTGCGCGGGCAAAGCTAACAGAGTCCAGACACAACTTCAGATCCTCACAGCTGTTGTCAAACTATTCCTGAAGAAGCCAGATCAAGCACAGGGCTTGGTCCAAAAGGTCCTACAAGCCGCTACAGCAGACAACGACAACCCAGATATCCGGGACAGAGCTTATGTCTACTGGCGACTGCTTTCCAGCGACCCACAGATAACAAAGGTATGTAGTTTTTGAAATGTGGGGTTCGGACAACTACTGACTCAATCAGGAAATTGTCCTCTCAGACAAGCCTCCAATTACATCGACAATACGGTCGTTGCCTCCTCAACTGCTAGAGAATCTGCTTACAGAGCTGTCGACTTTGGCATCAGTTTACCACAAGCCACCGGAGGCCTTCCTTGGACAGGGCAGGTTCGGTGCGGAGGCGATGCAACGAGCGGCAATCGAGGAGCAGCAAGAAGAAGCACGAGAGAACCCTATTGCCGCAGCTGCAGCCGCCGCCGCCGTCAGTGGACAAGCGCCCACTAACGTGGAGAATCTACTGGACATTGATTTTGATGGTTCTGCACCTGCTTCGTTGCAAAAGCAGCCTACACATGGGGCATCTGGATTGGAAGGCCTCGCCGGTACGCCCCAACGTGTATCATCACCCGTAGCGAATGCACCTCCCGCACAATCAAACATGGATGACCTGCTAGGATTATTCGGCGATGGAGGTGGAGCTGCACCTGCTGCACCTGCGGGCCAAATGAGCAATAACGACATTATGAATGGGTTTGCAAGCATGAGCATGGAGACGAATCAGCCGCCGCCGCCAGCTCAGCAAATATCAGGTGGTGAGCAGACCAAGAAGAGTAACCAGGACCTTCTCGACTTGTTCTAGTCTGGGTGGTAGTGGTGGTGGTGTGGGTTGTACGTGTACTTGGGTTGGCGGGGGACAGGGGATATAAAAAAAGAATAGTCTCTTGGAAAATGTGAGTGAGTATTCCATGGGGGCGACTAGCGAACATGGGTTCTTATCTTGTGTATGACAAAGTTGTATGCATGCATGCATGCATGTATGCATACATACATGCGGCAGGTGTGGGGGGAATGGATACTACGGTACTTGAGATAACAGGTAAAAAAAAGTAGTCGTGTGACCATTTCATAACAGCGCTTTACTATCATCAGCCAATTGCACTAGCAAAGCACGCAATGATATACACAAGTCTTCCGGGGGGTTCCGGACAGAGACTTGTCTTGGCGAATGCAAGTGTCCTTTTTCTTTTTCTACCTGACTAGTCTTACTACCCAGCTTACAAAAAGAGAATAAAGGGGATTTTCTCATATAAGTAAGAGAGGTGGAATTAATCAAGGAAATGTGACCCTTTGTCACCAAGGATAGAAGCTACGCGTTTATCAGTACTCCTCCTCCGCCTTTTTTTTTTGTTTTTTTCTTTTTTTTTTTTACAGAAATCGAACCAACTAACTACTGGACTTTTTTTCTTCTTAAATCTTTGAAGTGGAACGTAGTAGTAGTAGTAGTAGTAGTAGTAGTAGTAGTAGTAGTAGTAGTGCTATATATATACTACACCCCTCCTCCCCATATACCGATATGGATAGTAGTACTAGATAGCACATCATGTTTTTTTATTTTTGAATCTCGTACGTTAGATCTTTTGCGTTGTTCATCTAACTTTGGGTTTATACACCACTAGTACTAGTACTAGTACGTGTAAGTAAGTACTTGGATGCAATTGATCAACCAGCGCCACCTCACCTGAGTAAGCCATGGTCGGGCTTATGTACATAACACACGTAGTAAGTAGACCAAAGCGAGAATGTTGAGAGGTCTAGTTCAGCCATCACCCCCTCACCCAGGATGGAAAAATAACGTAAGGTAAGCACTTGTCCGTGAACAGGCAAAAGGTAACGCCGATCATGTTTCACATGTAAGCATTGGGAGGTGGGGGCAGACAAACACACAAGAGAAAGAGAGAGAGAGATTTTGGTAACCAAATTGGTTTGGCTTGTCATGTTTGTGAATTGTTTGATTTCATTCAACCATGACTTGATTTCCATTAAGCATTACGTTAGGGTGTGTGTGTGTGTGTGTGTGTGTGTGATGATGATGGTAATGAACCGCGTCTGTGCAAGTGCAGACGGGTTAAAAGAAGTTGTGGAAGAAGAAAAGGAAGAAAAAGGAAGAAAACAAAGGCCCGTGGTTAAATTCATTCCACCAGGGCTCTGTGCTTGCTTCCGGTACGTGTCGGAATCCATGCGTTGATTCAACCAATGCATCCCAGCCGTTTTCCCTTCCCCCCTTTGACCCTTGTCCCAACATGCATCGTCAGAAAGAGAAGAAGAAAAGACCTGCCCATGGACAGATATGCCATGCATACCAAAGGGTAAGCGGCTGAGCGCTGAAGCGAACGTGTATAAAAATGGAACTTTTCTTATATAGAAAAAGCTGCCAGTAGGAAGCGATTGACTTGGGTATCAAAAGAAAAAAAAAAGTGGGGGTTACAATAAAACCACGCTCTCTGGCGCTATGAGAAATCCACTGCGAAAAAGTGGCGAGTGGCTCTGAACAGGGATGCATACCGTCGTTCTACACTGTAGAGGACGCCCGTGATTTCTATGCCATAATGCCCATGTTTATCCATGGAACGCTGAAATGCTTCGCAAAACAAAAAAGAACTCCGGTCCAATGCATAGGTCGTAAAGGCCGTCACCTGGGGAGATTATTAGGTGATGTGCGAGTTTAGAGATGGGTGTAAGGTTATAAGGCGGAAGATGGAGATGGGTGTGACTCTAGTCCTTGCGGAGAGTGTGCTCGGTATCGGATCCGACTGTGTCTCCGTCCCAGAGACTCTGGTTGTCATCAGTAGGCGAACGAGCGCCAATTGGGCTGCGACCGCCAGTGGAGTAGGATGATGAAGAACCGGTAGCCCAATCGTCCGAATCG